CTCTTTTACCCTAATGTGGTACTTCAACAGATTTGTGCGCCCTAAACTGGTGGTGATTGTTTCGGGGAACTGTGAAAGTAATTTGGTAACTGATTGCCTCTGTGCTTGAGTCAAGTTCTCCCCCATGGCAACCGGGTTGTTCTGCTCTTCGGAAATGGATGTAAAAATGAGTGGGAGTGCTTTCGGCGAACCGTAAGGAAAGGTAACTGTGTGGTTGGACATGTTTATGACTGCTCTGGTTTTGGTCAAAAAATCCGATCCTAGCAAAAGGGGAACAGGCAATTTGCGGGTGACTAAAAATGGGAAATTCCAGGAAAGCTGCTGGATTTTGAAATGCAATTTGACTAGAAATTGGAAATCCATGGGTTCGCCGGTGGCTGAAAGCGCAGTGTAGTTTGTTGGTTCTTTTTTGACCACGGCCCTTGTGTGTCGCTTTAAAAGCTTGTAAAAATCAAATGATAGCAAACTGAAAGATGATCCTGTGTCGATTAGTGCGTCCTTAAATATGCCCTTAAAATTCAAGGTCACATGGCATAATTCGGTTTTAGGTACGGTTGGTGAACCCTTTGGCTTGTTTCTTAAGGTTTGACTGGTTGGCGTCGGTGTTACGGTTTGAACAACGGGGAGCGCTGAGACGCCTAACGGTGCCCCCCTTTGTCGTTTCCCTGCCCTATCATGGAAGAATTGAATTGTCGATTTGGATTGGTGTTGTGAGATGGCGGCGATTGATTGTTTCCGGGCGGTTGTGCTCGGAAATCGTTGAACGGATACCTAGGAATGTATGGTCTGTTCGTCGGTCCCGCGAAATTTTGACGATGGCTTGGAGCGCCTTGTCGGTAGCCGGGGCTACGTGACGAAGAAAATGTTTGATGGTGTGACTGCGGTCGGTAATTTTCCGTGCTGCGCTGACTGTCTGGCCGCGACACGGTGCGTTCACCCTCCAGCGCGCGCACCATTTGAACCCTAGGGGCCAGAGCAAGAAGATCTGCCAAGGAGCGTGCCGCGGGGAAAGCTGCCAAAGCTGCTCGCGTTGGTCCATTTAGACCATTTAAAACTGTGTCCAGGACGTCCTGCTGGGAAAAATGGGGAATCAAAAATGCTGACGTCCCAGAAATACTCTCGACGAACTCTGGGAGGGACTCAGACGGCCTCTGTATTCTGTAAACCATGCTAGAAATTATTGCGTGCCTGACCTGACCCGGGAGAAAAAAATCTCTAACATTTTCAATGACCTGTCCCAGCTTCGCGCGATCAGAAATGCCCTTCAACCAAAATACTCTCATTTGATCCGCCGTGCGAGGGAGAATAGCCATCAACAGATCCTCATCCGCGCACAATCCTAGCTTGTCTATTTTGATGGCCGCTACAAGAAATTCTACAAGCTTTCTTGGCTCCGCCCCGGTGGCGACTGGCAAATCTCTGACGAGGTCGTCGACAACTTTCAACCTATTTCTGCTTGCCTGGGGGGGGGAGTGGGTGCCAGACATGGCGGTCGCGATCTGCTGGCCCACGGCCATGGCGGTGGCTTGAACCAAATGGGTCCAATCTGTAGGTGCCTGGTTGGGTTCTTCCTTCGCGCTCGTGTTATTGAAGGGCGCGACTCCTGGAAGGAATGGCAAATGCGGATGCTGCTGGGACGTAGTGTGGATGGTATTTGTGTCTAAAGAGGCTTGTGCGGTTTGTGCAGGGACAAGGGGCTCGGCGGTATCATCCATGAGATCCTGGCTGGTCCTAGTGTGTGCCAGAGGGTTCGAGGACCTTGGTGAGGTCCGGTCGGAGGTTGTCGGGCATAGGCTCGGACCCACCATTCAATTGGAGCTTGCACAAAAAATCGGATAGCAAAGTTCTATTTTGGGTCAACGACGACGCCGGAGTAATCCCTAGTATGTGACATTGATTCACCGCGTCTTGCGCATTTAGTGAATATACCCAAGAAGTGCCAGGCGGCATATCGCTGGGCGCGTACACTGCAGAAGGCATGATGGTTGCTAAAGACTAGCCTTTAGCAAAAAGAAATTTTTGAAACCTACGCACTAGGCTTATCCTCACAAGACCCTGTAGCCTGTGTATAAAAAATTTTAACAAGGGGGAAAAGCCAGGCCATCCACCTAACGCTGGAAAAATCCCTAAAATTTTTTTTTTTTTTTTTTTTTTTTTTTCCAAGAGAAAATGAAAAAATAAACTAATCTGACATGGGTGAAAGAGAATTCTCTATTAACGGAATTGACTTCTTGAAAGCGTCGCCATTGAAATGAATTTTGTCGCGACGCCTAGAACTTCCATAATAAATATGAAAATAATGATGAGCTCCTGCGGGAGGTCTATTACCTTGACGAAGTCTGATCGCAGTGTTAGAAAAAACTTATTTATTTGTTGCAATCGTGTTACTGCTGGAGTGGAGTTAACTATCCTAGGATAACATGGCAAAGTCGCAAAGACAATTACCATCCGGGGATAATTTCGACGTAACATTCGTAGAAAGGACAAAAAGGTGTTCTTGAATTTTCCAATGTCGGAGTTAGCTAAGAAATCGTTGGTACCTAAGAAAAACAGCAAGGGTAAGTCCTGCTGTAAACTTGATCTATTTAACTTCACGTAAGACTTGAGGTCAGAAACTTTTGCACCTGAAATGCCCCTAACCAAAACTGGTAGTAACTTGCCGGTTAAAACTGGGTTGGAATTAGCAAAATTGCAAAAACGTACTGCGTATGAATCACCTAAAACTTGTAGAGTTGTAGGCTTTGCTGCGCGGTACATGTTATTGATAAACTTAAGATAGGCCTAAATAAAAAACACTCTAAAAATGTCTAAATTTTCACTAAAAATAATTTATCAGCTACCAATAAATTCCCCAAACTAACCAAATTTTGTTTCAACTAGCCTAACTATTTAATTTCCACTACTAAAGAAACCAGCAATCCGTAAAGATTGCAGTAAACCGTAAGCGACTAGGCTACCTAGCCAAACTATCCACTACAGAAATAAGTTAGGCTAAAGAAATCTTTAAAGAGCTAGGATTAAAATCTGAGACTCAAAAAATTAAATTTGGGGTGTGTGAAACCTTATTGTAGGTGGCAAACCCTCAACTTAGTACAAACATATAACACAGAAAATAAATAAATATATTACAATTTAGAAACACATAAATTCAGTCACATGAACATAAATCATCACTAGGGACATATTCACAAATGCTTTGATATGATATACTATATTTTGATAATTACATAAACACATAAAACAATTTTATAATTTACACTGAATTTAAGTCACTGGAATTAAACTGCAAGGTGGTGACTCTACAAGACAAACTGGCTTTTATTTTCAAAACAAAATCACCCTGCTTAGCAAAATGCCGATTTACGTTAACAAAATATTTGGGGTAAGGCCATTTACCTACCTTATGACCTGCCCCAAGGAGTAATTTTATGCCAGAAAAATGCCTCTTGAATAGGCTTACTGTAATTCAAACACTTAAACTCAGGCTAACACTTAAAACACTGCCCTGACGGTCGAGGTTGACTGCTACTTGCCTGAAACAACTTTAAACAAACAGCATAGCCCTACAAATAAACAGTTGGGTCTGCCACCCCTACAGGCCTAACACTTGGTAACCTTGCAACACAGACTTTACCATGCTCTAGGCCTACAGCCCTGTCTGCCTAACTAAATAACCCAAGGTAGTAAAATCTGGCCAGAAAATGCAATAAGGAACAACTCAACTGTAAGAAAATATTTTTGACTAGCCTAACTTGAAATATTTCAAAAGGCTAGGACTAACCTCAAATGAAAAACTGTGTTGAAACTAGGCCTAAGCAAAATGTGTAACCCAAGCCGGCAAAAGCCCACTTACTGGTCCAGGCCTAAAGCTCTGCTACCATTTGAGGTGGTGATAGTCTTGTGATATGGTTTTAAACTATTCTGGTTGTCAGTATTACCTTGGATTACTGGAAAAGTGTGATGGGGGCCCAGAGAATTGGACCTTTTACCCAGACCAGGAAGACAGCCCAAGCCAGCTTTGATTACACTTATTTAACTAACACACTTAAATACCCTAATTTTGGTTGACACCTTCCAAACTAATATATAAATATATATAAGAAAAACCTGATTGAAGCAAGAATTGGTTGAATTGTAACTGGTAGATGAACTAAGCAACCCCTCTAACCGGCAATTTAATCTCTTGGAACATGTGGCTTCGAAACATGAAAAGGATTGTTTGATTCCGTTAGGCGGAATCAAACTTGATAGTTATTTACTACATTTTCCAGCGTACCTGCGAAGCCAGTGGCTTCCCCCCCTGAGATTTACTTCTAGCCTAACATATTTTAATATTTTACTTAAAACTAATAAGTTAACTTAGCTTGATTATTGTTCATTCTGTACGAAGTTTGAAGACTCGAAGTTCGTCAAATCACGGCAGCGGGCAGACAGGGGCGAGAGAAGAGACGAGCCGGCTGAGCTTAGAAAAAATTGGTCCAAGAAAAGAGCGGTTGAACGGCATGCTAGCGCCTTACGCCATGAAGCTGTGGCGCTTGCGTCACAATTAGGCCTACAAGTTGATTATTAAATTCTGCCACACAGCTGGTTGAATTCACCAAGGAGAGATTTTGTAAGACTAAATGGCACCATTGAATTTTTTCAAGTTGTGTTTTTTGGTTTGTCAATGGCTCAGTAGGTAAAGTGACTGACTGTGCTGCAGCAAGAACCTGCATGAACCTGCTCTATGTCGTCGAGCAGGTTAATGTCCATGTGTCACCATTTATAGTTTATCACTACAATTCATTCTTTCACTGTTACGGCTACCACACAACTACTTATTTTTTGTCATTTATGTTCCACCTATAGCCCTATCTAATGGGTTTGTTTTGACTGTTTTTCACAGAACATTCTTCTGTGTCCTCGCCTTGTTGCGAAGCACTGGTTAATAGCAACAGGTTAAGAAAAATAATTAATGCATTCTGTATTTAATAAACGAGATGGAAATTAAAAACCATTACCAATATCAGGTCGGTTGGTGGCCGCCATGAGGAACACTCCATTTCTGGCCTCCACACCATCCATCTCTGTGAGCAGCTGGTTCACCACTCGACTCGCTCCATTCTCCATGTTCATTCTCTTGGGAGCCAATGCGTCTATCTCATCAAAGAATATGACACAAGGCTGGGAGCTGCGAGCTCGCTGGAAACATTGTCTGACTGCTCGCTCACTCTCACCTACATACTGTGAAGTGAATTGAACACCATTAGACAGTAGGATAGTAAAATTTCAAACACAAAACACAATTACATTTCCGTGATACTTCCCCACACCACTACTACAAGCCAGAAGTTGGCAAGTTTTTGTCCTACCTCATGCAACAAATGAATAAAGACTCTTCCTTTAGACCGTCTATCATATTTTGGTATTTATAAAGAATAACAAATTTGTTTGAGGAAAGTTGTCTTAAAGGCATGCATGGTGTCTACAGCACCTGCTATAGCCATTCAAGAATATGGGGATTTTAGGGAACCAAGCAATTTTCGGGGATACTTTATTAAAGTGGCAAATTTGCTTATGTTTACTTTTAAACTCTCTTAACATATCAGCATGAAAACATCTCAAATTTCAGAATAGACTACTCACTATTTCCTTGGCAAAAAAAATAAAAATGTACAACAAGTTATAAACATTTTGTAGGTCTTTAGATAACAAAACTCTATGAGTTTTCAGGAATATCCAGGATCAAATACAGTACATAAAAATACATATAAAATATCAGTACATTTCAGGAGAACGGGAATGTTCAGTTCTGCATACCCGGGAGATATTTATCACAAAACTATTTGATTTTATAAAAAACATTTTGTTTTACGTCTACTCTGTGACCACTAGGTTTTACTCCAACATAAGTTTCTATTTAGGATCAATGCCAATGTCAATCGTACCATATTGAGTAGTTCAGGTCCCTTGACAGAAATGAAGTTGATGCCAGCCTCGTTGGCGACTGCCTTAGCCAGTAGAGTCTTGCCACAGCCCGGAGGTCCACACAGCAACACACCAGTTGGAGTGTCAAGTCCCATCTTGGCAAACTCTGCTGGGAACTTAACTGGTGCCTGTCAACATCACAATCAAATCAATCTCGTTTTGACAAACTGTCCACCAAAAATGTGGTTGACCGAAATGGACTAAAAAATCAAGACCCCTGATATCCTGCCTTGGTTGTACCGGTCTTTGGTAGTGTGAAAAGAAGAACAAGTGCGGTGTTGGAACAAAGAGGATGCATGGGGTTGGGGGTTGGGTTGGCTAACTCAAATAAAGCCATTATTGTTTTTTTTTTCAAGTAAATAAAACAAAAATGATACAAACCACAAAAATGAATTTATAGCTGAGTAAAAACCAATTATCTAAATGCCTGAGAGGTAGACATTTGTGTTTTTTAGATATGTCAGAGTATCAGTTCTTTTTAAACCTAACAATAGTCTGTAAATGTTGCAAATAAAATCTGACATATACAACTATTTCTACTTTAGCACTAAAAACACGTTTAAATGCAAAAAATATGAAGATAAAGGAAGTTCGGAAGTTGATAGCTATATATTGGTAAAGTAGGTAGTAAAACATCTAGCATCACAAAAATAACTTATTTTATTTTATTTAATAGAATTACTTAAAGTTACAAACCAGAATAGCCATCTCGAGTTCATGTCTGATGTCCTTCAGAGAGCCGATATCTTCCCACCGAACGTCCGGAACTGTTGCAAAACCTTCCCTCTTGGCTGATGGCTGAACTGCCTTCAACGCTGCTTTGAAGTCTTCCATCGTTATGTTCACACCTGATTAAATAAAATAAAAATGACCCTATTAGTGAAATTGTAACAAAACTATCAAAATTTTAACTCTTTATGCTTCCTTTTGCTTATTTCACTATATTTTTTCTTCATTTGGTTAATCCATGAACCATTTTTTTTTTGTCCTAAGGACGCTAGGCACGAGCCTGGGATTGTTTTTCACATTACTTCAGGCTAGACCTAAGGGGTTGGGGCATTATCACTTAGATAAAATCCATTGGTGACTTGGCGGGGATCGAACCCGGGACCTCAGGGACTGAAGTCCCGCGCTCTAACCACTACGCCAGCTCGCTCCCCAATCCATGAACAATAAAAATACTTACAGTGAGGATAGGTAAAAAGAAGTGAAATTTATGATTTTAGATACAATTTATAAAGATCCATCCACTAACTTTACTTCTATCTGAGCCATCTACCTATACCAAGCTCTGGCACAAGAACTTCTCTTGAGATACACATAAGATGTGATCAAGACAAAATCAAACCTTCAATCAAGTCTGGGATAACAGCTCGGCCATTGATCAGGCTACTCTAACGCTACGTACGCACTAACTATCAATACTGACAAATCAAGACCTCAAGCTTAGTAGTTCAAAGATACCTGAACATCCTGAAATAGTAATTCCTTTATGTAGGTTATTTAAAGTGATCTAAACTTATACTAATCCGGACAAACTGGAACGCCAATTCTAGTTATGATGGCATACAGTTACATTACCTTGCAGCTGTTCCACACTGAGAGGTGCAGAGTGAAGCAAAGATGGAGGACAGAGTGGCTCTGTTTCTTGCTCCTGACTGTGGACATTTTCTTTCTCTCCCCCATCCTCTTCCACCTTACTATCCACCTTTACCACGTCTATATCGCTCTGGTCCTTTACCACGTCTATATCGCTCTGGTCCTTCACCACGTCTATATCGCTCTGGTCCTTCACCACGTCTATATCGCTCTGGTCCTTCACAACGTCTATATCGCTCTGGTCCTTCACCACTTCAACGTCATTTTCAATTTCTACTACTTCTATTACCGATTCTTCGCCTTTCTTTTCACTTTCACAAGCTGAAAAATATCAACACCAGATCAAGTGAAATAAAATCTATTGTGTAAAAATTAGCAGTAAAGTAATGGTTTTGCTTTACAATAAATTCTACAATACAATTGTCACTCATTAATCTGACCCTTTGTAATCCAACGTACTCGGGTGTATGACACACAGTAGTCTTATCTGCAGAAACAAAACAAGTCTGCAATGACATGAACCCCCATCCCCATTACGGTTTGTACTTTTCGTTAACTTCATTACACTATATGGTGACGTACGATGATTAATCATCTATAAAGAAAACCCCTCAATACATATTTCCAAGTTTGCCAAAAGACTGTTTAATAATTAATATATAAACACTAAACAGTCACATGTTTTTCAATTGTTTTGTTAAAAACAGTAAATAGTTGAGTGTGTTGTTTTGATAAATGAAATAAAGAAGATGGTTTTTGTAATATTTGTTTGGTCATTTCTTATGTTTAATATTAAGCAATCGTCCGTGATATCAAATAAATTGAATCACGCACAGTGACGACTTCAATGGGACATATGAGCGCACTAGCTGGGCTTCAGTGAGAGGCTCATTTAACATAATAAGGGAAGTATACTTCAGTAACAGAAAATAGTAAAAACAATTAATAATAGAACTCTAACCATACAAATCTACCAATCAGTGTAGATAATCCGATAACGTCTACACACCGCTACTTAACAACTTATATCTAGATCACTTGTAGTATGTGTAATTAAATCTTTAAAAATGTTCACTATTGATTAAAAATGCAAAGGCCTACAACAACAAAAATTGTATTTTTTTACCCAAATTTTGGTAAAACTCTTAACAGTCTGAACATTTACATTTTATCACTGGAAAGAAGATTACTCAACTATTGCTCAATTACTCAACTGATTAGAATAATTGGAGTTGTACCGTATCAATATGTAGTAAATTTTGTCTGTTTATTCGCCCTAGCAGTATTTAGTAAAGTAGTCGAGTTATAAGCACATTTGGTAAAATCACTAAAATACCTGTGGTATGCCAAAACCAAACATATCCTATACATTTACAACAAAAACAACTGAAGATGCTACTTACAAAGCTAAACATGCATTCTTTCTAACTCCAACAATTTATAAGTTCCAGCATTAAATTTTAATATTACAAACATATATCAGTCATGACTAGCAAATACCAAATACCAGAGCTGTATAATTGATTCTAAAGAAACTAAGAAACCAAACTGTTATTTATATTAAATATATTGGAAACTGGAAACATTGTGGCCCAAATCTAATTCAATCATCGAAAATAGCAAACTCTTTTATTGTAAATTATACTCACAGTCTCTAGCCCAATGATTAAGCTATATTACACAAATATCGCAGTAGCTTACCTTCATCATTTTGACCATCTTTGGATGTTTCTGGTTGATCTGCTTCCTTCACCCACTCCACTACCTCTACATCAACTTGGTCAGTTTTGGACTTATCATCAACCTCCATCGGTGTTGAATGTTCCACACAACCATTGCTGGATTTAACTTCAGTAGACCCATCTTTTGTATCTGGAGTGTCTTTAGGATTAGGCTCTTGAAGTGATTTGAAAAGTCTAGAGTAACAATAATTAAATTTAGCATTAAAGAACAAAACTAAACTAAAATATTTCATTCTTAAATTTAAAAGTTACAACACAAGATACATTGGATTTTGTTATACCTCAGTGTAGGCTGCTCAATACTGCTAACATTCACTCTGGTGATTCATAAACAATTTTACAGAACAGTTACGGACACTGATGTGCAACAGCAAAAGTCTATTTATTTTTTAAGATAATTTAGCATAGTGGTGGATTGTGAAACCGACTGACCTGTTGACAGCAGCCATTGCGGCCTCAGTGACCAATGCCTTGAGGTCAGCTCCTACATAGCCCGGGGTCATCATAGCTACATCAGCGAGAGCCACCTCGGGGGCCAGCTTGAGTGTGTGACAGAGTGTCTGTAGTATTGACTCCCTGGACTCTCTGTCTGGGATGCCCAGGCACACCTGAGTAGTGGCAGAGGTATTACAGGCTGGCCAGACAGATATGATAAGAAAACTCTAGACAATTATGGATTTCCTATATCAAAATGTCCTGATAAATACTAATTGCAAACAAAGTGAGTTAAGGTTGCTTATAAGTTTAAGTTTTTGGTGAGTCGGTGGCTCAGTTGGTAGCGTCGCGGACTTCGGGCCCAAGGCAGTAGTGTCGTGGGTTCGGATCCTGATCACTGCCACAAACTTTTATCAGTACAGTTCACCTTTGTACTGTACCGGCTCACCCCTTGGTTTGCTGGATACGTTCCACGCACAGATCTGTAGTCTATGTGGTCGGGCAAATGCAAGGTTAAAAGAGGCCACCAACCTCTTTAAAAAAAAAAGAAAGAAAATTTACTAATAAGTACCTTATTGAAGACTAAAATATGTTTAAAGAGCCTAAAGTAACTCAAATTAAAAAATAAAATAAGCTAGGTTATACAATAAAAATATATAGATTAATTATTAAAACCAGCAAACGTGTATACTTATTTTGTTAGAGGACATTACTCAAACGTGAAGCAAAACACAATTTTAAAAGTCTAGTACTTTAATCAACTGTATAGCAACTAATTACATTTTTAAATATACTACTAAGTAATTTTTTATTAACTCTATACAACGTTTTTTTATTTAATCCAATTTTTTGGCCATAAAAATTAAATAACGTAAAAATTCTGAAGCTTTGAATCTCAAATCTAAATCTTAAATAAAATGTTTATAAAATACAATAGAAATGTAGTTTTACATTTTCTTTTTGCTGTTGTCTATTATTTATTTGAGTCGAGTCTCTAATTTAGTCTTTTTCAAAACTATAAGATTTACAGCTGGTACTCTAGACTCCAGCAGCTATTTTTTTTTCAATCTTTTCTCATGCCATACAAAATTAAAACTAGGATAAGCCAAAATTTAAATTATCGGACTCCATCTTAAAGTAAGAAAGAAAATACATTTAACTTAGGACTAAGGGTATATTGTGGATGTACCTCTCGGTCAAACCGTCCAGCGCGACGCAGGGCTGGGTCCAGTGAGTCAGGACGGTTGGTGGCTCCAATAACCAACACCTGGTCCCCCTGCTGGTTACCAGCCAGCTCTGTTAACAACAGATAGATAGTTAATAAATATGCTGACAAACTAGACAACCTTTAAAAACTAAACACTTGATTTTGCCAGATTAATATAAATTAAGATTAGTATAAAGGATCCATACGATCAAGTGAACTTATTAGATTTTTATTACAAATTCAAATGACATTTTTATTTTCCCACTTACTGTCATTAGACTAGATTAAAACTTTTATTATTTAATAAATCACTAGTGTACCTGTTGCTCGAATTCGAGCAATTGCGAAGCATTACAGGCGTTATTTTAAAACGAATAACAGTCATAATTTCCGATGACTTTATAAGAGTCGACTCAAAGATTATGGAAATACTCAAGATGTACACAGCAGTTAGATATAATAAAAATTTTTTGTAAATATCTTATCTTTTTTCAAAAGCTGACCATGTTTTTTTAGCGTTTTCTACAAATTTTCCTAACTCATAGCCGAATTAGGTTGTCTATAATAACGATTATAAATGAAAAAAAAAAAAACATTATTTCTTTTTCTTCTACTGTACCTACTTGGTTGTGTTCTATGACTTTCATGTTTCCATTGTTTGAAAATCGGCTCTTTCAATTATTGCTCAAGAAATGTAGCACATTGTTAATTCAGTTTTATTTTTAGTATATAAAATTTTCCAGTATTTCTCACTTTTTCCAAACACTAACCAAGTATTGTCTACTACAGATGCAATACGCCAAAGAATATCGTCTACGTGCAATCTCCAAGAAGTGGTAAAAAAGGCAGAAACCAACCCATACAATAGATATAACTTAACTCCATAAAAAATAATTTTAAGAGTTACTGTGATATTAGGATTTTCCACTGATTTGGTAATAGAACATTATGTTGCAAAACATGGCACGATTCAGAAGAAAGTCAATTTTAAAATCAGAAAAAAACCATTGCAAATACTTCATTTTGACAAATTTAGTAAATCACAATTTAAATATTAACAGCTGTTTCATTCAATTCATTCATTCAGTGCAAATGTATACATATGGTCGTAATGTAAACAAATCTGAAGAGGGAACTTTAAAGGCCTCTGGGGCAGAGCCCCAAGGGAATTTACCTTGTTTCTCTTTTGATGGCTCATTTACAGACTAAGACCTTTCTTTAGAGACCCCTACCAAGTTTCTACGCCCAGCCGTTCTCTGTAATTAGCTGTGACAAAACACCGTTTTTCCTCCATAAGAATAACATGGGATGGGAATTTAAAGGCCACTGGGGCAGAGCCCCAAGGGAATTTACCACGTTTCTCTTTTGATGGCTCATCTACAGACCAAGACCTTTCTTTAGAGACCCCTACCGAGTTTCTACGCCCAGCCGTTCTCTCAAATTAGCTGTCACAAAGAAAACCAGTTTCAAATTAATATATAGATTTGAATGCTTACATGAAAACATTGAAAAGACACTTTTTAAAATTTAGAACATAACACTAGAGTTGTCATTGGTACATTTTTATTCACTTTAATTCTGCATATCAGTTGGAATATATGCAAAGAGCATGGTTTAGAAGATATAGTTCGGCCGCTTAGAAAACGACCTGCGCGCTAATGCTAAACCAATGCTGGGGGAGGTCGTTTTCTAAGCGGCCGACCAATAGTCATGAATTTGTTACTGACTTCAACACAAGCTACTCTCACGCCACATATACTTACCCCTCTATCAATGGTCAATCGTGGACATATAATTCGCATTGCCAATGCCAATCTGGATATAAAATTTCAAATCGTAACAAACAATCTACTGTTGGTTTGTTTGGTAAACTGCCGAGTGCCGATGTCCTCTCTACTGTCTATTGTCTGTCGTAAAAATGATGACAAAGTCCGTAGTCAATTTGTCTTTTCCTCAAGTCTTCTACCATACATTGTTTACAATGGCAGGTTAAATAAATAATCAAGTACCGTAGTTGAAATGCATTTTTTTATGTACATCAGCAAAGAATCCCGAGGGAGTAAATAAATATAGTTCATAGTTATGTACAAAAACACTGTGATTTACCTAAACCACTAAAAGTTTTAAATAAATCAACAATAGACCTTATGACTGAAACTGCCTGGATCAGTGCTTGTTTTTGTAGAGGTGGTTCAGTTGTCTTCCTGAATGAACCACACATTCAACCAAATATAATTTTACCGACCTGTATCTTGATCAGGAAGCCTCCAGCTCAAGATGGATTTTAATCTCTGCCAAGTTTTAATAACGTTAGATTTTCTGACCTTAATAACCAACGTTTCATGGTCTAGCGTAGATTAAGAGCATTAAAATGTTGATTATGTATAGAACTTGACATTCCATCCATTCCATGTTAAAGTAGTTACTAGTTTTAGAATAAAATAAACATGGAAGAATTCAGTCACCAACAGACTGTGCTGATGTGAATTACTGATTTGTCAAATACGTCAACTTTCTTACGTAAGCCCAACCTTATTGTATCAAAGGAACCTTATTGTAGACTGAAGCAGATTTAATGGCATATCAACTATATCTTTTAGAGGCTCGTTCGACAACCTATATAAACCGTTAGCTACAGCTGTTCCATATGGAATGTCCACTTCAGGATTATTAAGTCAATTACTACACTCACCGTCCATTGAGGACAGCAGCTGGGCCACGATCCTCCTCTCCATCTCCCGATGCGCCGTCTCCCTGTTGGGTGTGATGGCGTCTACCTCATCTATGAAGAGTATACACGGAGCCAACGCCAGCGCCTGCTCAAACAACTCACGTATCCTCTCCTCTGATTGGCCAGACAGTCCGCCTACCAGCTCTGGTGCAGCCACCTTCAGTAGGGGCAGCGTCAACTCCTGGAACACACGAGCATATCAGGCTCTTGTCTAACACACCATTTAAAAGTCCATGAAAGCTTGTAAAACTCTATACAAACAAACAAAAACCGAAAATGTTTATCAACACAGTGGAGTCTCAATCATTCAATATTCCGTTACCCAACTTTCCATGTAACCTGACTCCTCTCTCCAGATAATCAAGAACCAAGAATTTTTTTTTTCTTTGGTATGGTATAACAGGATCTAGGCTATATTGCAGCAGGTAGGTGGAGACAACTCCTTAGACTCCTTGTGCCATCACTGTCTGTACTAGGAAGACGAGCAAAGCTTTAACCAACTGCACTAAATTTGCATTGTTTAGTGCTTTGCTTACCCCTCATTGCTTACTTGCTTACTTCTCTGCAACCCTCTCATCTGGCTGAGTGGACAAGCCTCGCTTTATCACATATTTTACAGTTACAGAAGTGATGTTTTTGTTTTTTCTTTGTTGGTTGTATTTTAAGATATTTGTAGGTAATGGCTTAAGAATAGAATAAGTTAGTGTCTTCAAGGGGAAAAAATCAACAAATAGTAGGCTACTATACATTAATGTCCTTAGTCCTAATAATTTTTTAGTACCTATTTAAAATGTTTTTTTTAGTTATCTAGCCTATCTGACCTTACAGTACCAAGGCTGGTTTAAGCCAGCGCCACACTATCCCGTTAAGCGGGATGCGGTTGAGCAGGATGCGTTTTTACCACATTTACATTACCCTGTCACACCTTCCTGCTCTACCTCAACATACTTCGAGTGAAGAGCGCGAGCATCACATGCTGAGCACTGGTGATAGCGACAAAAGTAGGGATAAACGCTCGGCACAATCGGATAGTGTGGCTGCTCTCATTTAGCTGCATGTGTTTCGCGGTGGATCCAGTCAACGCAAGGCAACCGCAACAATGTGACTGCGCCTATTAAAACCCATGACTGGACCGGCGAAACGGGATAGTGTGGCGTTGGCCTTAGGTTGAATGTTTGATTCAAGACTCTCCTGTATTTTAGAGAATTATTGGGTGAAGTAGATGGATTGGGGAATGGTGTAAAGTACAATAATGAGTCTAAACTTAATAACCGTGACCTGCAATATTTAATCTTATTATAGGTGTGATAAAATAAACAGCTTACCCCAGCTATGGCATTAGCTAGCAATGTTTTTCCAGAACCAGGAGGTCCATGTAACAAGAATCCCCTCGGAGGAGAAACTCCCAGCACTCGATAAACCTAGAAAAAAATAACTAAGGATAAAAAAGTGTATTGAATGAGGCAATAAGACTGTGTACCATGGAGAAGAGTAAAGTTATGGTTTGAATTATCACTTGCAATGAGAAAGTTGAAACTTTACTCTCACAGTGGACTGTGTATTTTCTACTTTTCGACTGTTCCATTTGAGTAATAGGCTTACTATATAACTTGAAATCATGTCCATTTTTGAGGTAGGTTAAAATATCTAACATCTAAGTCTAGTTTGGACTTACAATAAGTAAAAATACTGTGTTTGTTTATTGGTCTTAATCTGCTCCATAACTCAAATTTTACAACGTTTTGGAGTTCGAACTAAACCAGCTGTCAGCCTATTTAAACAAACAGCTGAATCTTTACGAGGCACAGTTGAAACAAACCTATCACATGATCCATTTCACTCTAATTCCTTATTCATCTCCACCTTATAAGAGCACACTGTGTTGGGTCAATGTCGTTTAATCTAACTTAATCTAAAACCAGCTTTAAGACAAGGCTCAGTAATCCAGCATCTTGTAAATCCCACCACAGCCAAAGTTTCACTTGTTTTGGATTTGAGACATACTATTGATTTATTTTTGACATAGTACTTAGCAAGTGTTTTCTAACACAAAATCTTCCAGCCACTACACTTACTTCAGGATGCCTCATGTGAATTAACATCTGAGTAACCTCTTGAAGGACTTTTTTGGTTCCACCGATATCCTTGAAGGACACAGTTGGACGAACAGGCTCCAGAGAAGCTTTGAACCTCTTGCTGTCTACGAGAGAACTTTGCGTCTTCCGTTTTTTCGTTTGCGTCACTGGTTCTGGCACTGTCACTTTAGGCGCTGGTGTTGTCTCTACTTTTACATTTTTGCATGTAGGGGTGTTTGGAGTTGCATTGGTGCAGTTTTGTGGAGCAGCCTATAAAATGTGGAGCCAAATAAAAACATTTGATGAAAATTACCAGGATAACTTAATTTAAGTATTTAAGATGATTTGATAAAGCCTACAAGACACCATTATAGGCTAGGCCTACATCCTTTAAATGTAATAATGTGTTGTTTCTGTCAAATTTCACTTCTAATCAAATGGACCTTGTTCGAGCCTATATAATTTTATTTTTATTAGTTCAAACTGTTTATTGAGACAGCACATAACATAAGTGTGATTCAAGCTGAATCAAAATGCAGGGCGAGGGTGGAATGGAGTGAGACAATATTTTGTTGGATAATGAATGAGTAAATGGTAAATAGTCCTGGCTAATAAACAAGACGGCTTGTCTTAATCAGTAACAATGTTACATGGAATACCTCTCTCAATCCTACACTCACTCTGCATTACTTCTTAGCTTAATAATACATTTTAGTCTCTGTCATACATATTTGAAATACAGCAGTATACAATAATTTGGTTTAACATCCTTGGCAACACTCCGTGCAGTGGGCGCGGCCGTGTAAGCAAGTTCATGAGTTAGCAAATTTCACTGTGGGACAAAATCAAGTTAGTGGGCTCTGAAAGGGTTAAGCAATAGTGGAGTGGGACAGTTAGCAAATTTTGGGGTTAGCCAGTTCTACCACGCGAGTTAGCAGGTTCTGGAGTTATCCAATTCTATCATATCATTCAAACCAAACGGAAGTTATAATCCAGCAATCTCATTTATCAAAGTTTAAGAGGCTAGTGGACACCATTGTACAGATTTATAAGCAAAGGCAGATATATATACATATACTAAACATGGCTCAGTTTTTGACTTCTTAAACTCCCTGAACTACTAAATTTAATGTTAACCTACCTTGGTAGCAGCTTCTTCCTCATTGTTGTCCTCGTCACTGGTCACTATACTGATAAGTTCTTGGGCAGGCGAGCTATTCGATACTTTTCTGCTAACAAAACAATAACAGAACAAATTTTTAGTTGATGTTCTCTTATTAAATTGTAGATCAAATTAAGAGTTACCCACCCGAAAAATTTTTACAAATTCCCTAGCAAAATTATCCAAAACATGGAAATGGAAGAAGAATAATAAATTGAAGGTATCTCAAAATAAGAGTAACTTTGAGGTTACAAACAGAATCAAATAATAAACGTATGGAGGTTTAAATGAGCAAAGCTACACATTTGTTATCTCCTGCGATTGCAGCGACATCCGAGTCAAATGACCACAAGGTCATCGTAATATTTCAGTTATCACGCAACCATCTTGCAAAATTGTAAATATACATAAGGCCTACAAGGATTTTGTTACAAAAAACAAAATTTGTTACTTGAACATAACTAATAAAATTAGAAGAGGGTAGTCTGACATACATGCTTGTACCAGTTCCTAGCGGAACATTGTCGTCTTTCAACGCTCGGTAATTTAGAATAAGTACTAAGATGTTGACCACAAGAAGACAAAAAAAAACTTCTAAACCCCTTTGGTTTAACAGACTTTAGGATAACCAGCGTACGAGGAGTCGAGACTCAACTGAAATCATGTATACGTACACCAGTTAAATGTTGGTTATTTCAAAGTACATTTTTCTTTTGTAAATAGGCCTAATGCAATACCAGCGTTGTCAATTTAACTTAGATTGCCAAAATAGATGCAGTGCAGCAATAGGTTACATAGCTTTTTAAACTGAGGTCCACAGAATATATTTTGGTTGGTGATAATGGTTTATTAAATAAGAAACTGTTAAAACCTCATAAGCTCTGTAAAACTTTGTCTAGCCTATAGCAAGGAGCTACAGTATATTATTTGGTATAGCATCTTCACCAGGAAGTAAAATATTTTGAATACCTTATTTTTATGACCTTTTAATAACATTTTTAATAACTTACCTTCTTTTGGCACTTTGCTGAAGATAGCTATCTTCAAGAGTTGAATTTACATCACCATCTCCCTAAAAGAAAATACATTGAAATTAATAGGTTTTAAAAATAGGCGTAAAGTTTTTGTTATTAATTAACCCTGTGAGCGCCAGGGTTTTTACAGTTATATATTGTTGACATATTTTATCATATTTTTTTTTAGGAACACCAAATTCGGTTAGGCCTACAAAAATAGTGTTTAGTGAACTAGCAAACATGAGTGAAAAGGAAAAAGTAGCAATATGCCTAACTTGAGGTGCAACTCACATAATTATTTATAGTAGGTAGTAGTAGTTTATTATGTAGGCCTAAGTGGCTGTGTATCAAGTGGAGCACAAAATTGTACAAAGGTAAACCTGGTGTTCCTTAGAAATTTAAAAAAAACCCTGATCTATCTATAAATTAGCCCCTAGCCAGCAAAAATATATTAGCATAGTTTTAGATAAGTTTTGCGTACTTGAGGTTCATAAGATACTTACTTCAAACGCATAGCTAGGTGAACTTCTACCTTTGGGATCACTAGTCTCTATGTCATCATCATCCTCTATAAGATCACTATCGTCTTGGTTCAGAGAGTTTTCCAAACTTATTACCTCCACCGCTAGAGTAAAACAAAACAAAAACTCACTTGTCAACTCACAATAAAGAACAATCATTTACAAAAGAAAGCTTTGGATGAAGGCTACAAATAAATATATATTATTAAACATTAAAGTTACTATTTTAGGACGTAAGTGAGAAAACTTTCAGCAAAACAGAGGCAGTGTCTTAAAAACATTTACACAAATCATAGTCAATTCTAACTGACAAAACCGAATTGAACATGTGCATGTAATTCCTTTTCACACTTAGCTTACAGTACTTAGCTCTTCAAATTGATACTTAGCCAATTTGACCATTCAATGTTACCCATCAATGATTCTTGTCATTCGCCTATTGGGTCTAATGATGATTGGAGTGTCCAATCAAAATCGATCACCACTTACCATCTTTTATGTATATTTGCCGTCTTGTGAGTTAACAGTACCTATAAGCGTAAATATATGTTTTAAGTGTTATTAGACGTAACTTTTATTTACTTTCCCTAAATTTAATAACACGTACAATGCTAATCAGAAGTTGTTTATTAGGCCTATTATATAGAATAGAAAATAGAATAGAAAAATAGCATCATCATTTTCAAGATGGGGACGCCATCTGTGTTTAACCCATATGAGTGAAGGATTAGTGTAGAATCAATGAATACATAACATTAAAAAGCACAATGCCTTTGTTTCTGGGAATATTTGAACTTTGGATAGTTCCCTCGGCAGCCGCTAGGTAGACGATCGCGAGCGACGGCCAAGTCATCTGACTGAGTGAGAGAGAGTGAGACAAAGAATAGGCTTAGAGAGAGAGAGAGAGATAGACATTTCGCTTCTTAAGTTATAGGGTTTGTAGCCTATTCATTGGTAGAATTGAGTGTGATGCGTTGTGTAGCTTTGTTACTAAGACCATCTGCTGTTTCATTAGTCAGGACCATTTAGCCACAGAAAACATACAACTATTTATTACCCAGAATGCTAACTGCGTGTTAAACAGTGTTAAGTACTCGGAGGGAACTTTGCCTGTCAATTCGTTGGCAGCGCCACTAGCATATAATGCATCAGCATTACGAATTGACAGGCAAAGCTCTCTCCGAGTACTTAACACTGTTTAACACGCAATTAGCATTCTGGGTAATAGTAGTATGTTTTCTGTGATTTAGCCTATTTAAAGCCGGATGATCCCTACATATAAGTTTAACACACTTACCTTTTTTAAGATGGTTTTTGAACGCCCATCGCTTTTTCCTTCTGTATTCGTGGTGTTCCCTTTGGAGTTGGTCAACCATATGGTCAAAATCAATCTTACCTCGTTTTCCATTATTTTGGAGATACTGCAAAATAATTCAACTTAAGTTAAGTTAATGTCAGCCAATAATATTTGGGCAAATCTTTGACATTCGACTCCATTGTAGCCTTTTTAGAAAATAATTGAATCAAAACCTATCGGTATTTTCAGTCACATTGATCTAGGTTATTACAACCAAAGTAGGATAGGATCCTCACCTTAGTTTAAATATCTCCTTGCTGCAAGAAAATCTGGGTAACTTAAGTTAAGTTAAGTTAGGTAGGGAGTTAGCCAGAAAACCTACAATATATTAAGTTATAAGTTAGGACAAAATATTAGTTTGATAAGCTATCAAACAAATTAATCGATAAATAAGTTAGGCTATTTATTTCAATCAATTAACTTAAAATATTGAAATCGAAAAGCTACATAAGTTTAACTTGGCTAGGCAGTCTATTCTCTTGGGTCCTTTCATTTCCAAAGAATACTGCCCGCCACTCTTTTACATTGCATTGTTGTGGCTTTTATGTTAGTTTTGTCAAGTAGGTACAGTTTATCTTATGAATCACCTGAAAAAAGAGGTTAAGTTAGGCCTAAAATTAGTATTACCGTAGCTGCCTAATTCAAATTTACATTTTTGTAGATTCAGTTAAGTTAAGTATCTCTTTTACAAGCTAGACAATAAAATAAAAACTTTTATTTTACAAATGGTACCTTGGTTTTATTAGCCTATCATAAACTTAACGAAGCCGAACTGAAATACACTAACCTAAGCTAACGCCACAGCACAGTGGGCAGGAAGTCTTGCAAGGCATAGGCCTACAACAGTGGCGGATTCAGAGGGGGTGCAAAGGGGGCGACCGCCCCCCCCCCCCGGCATACATATACATATATTTTTTACTGCATGTAATACAGTCGTGCATACAAATTGTGTAAAATAATTTGTCACACTAACTTTAGACAAAGAAATGGTATGAAACTGCCATTTTGGAGACTTAGTTTACACTAATTTTTCGGGGGGTACCCCCGAACACCCCCCTGACCCCCTTGGTCACCCCCCCCCTTGTGACTGATCTAGATCCGCCACTGGTCTACAATCCATTATATCGCATTATGACTAGCCTACAGGCTATCCAATACAACATAAATATGTAACTTAAGTAATATTTCATCAAATAATAAGTTATTTACCACACGGTTTCATCATTTTTACAACCAATAACTTTACATAGGAAGGAACATGTTCATGACAGTTACTGCTAACTTATGACAGTAAGTTTAGGCTATTGAATATTGTTATTAGGGTAGGCCTACATCTTCTAAACCTTCGTTCGATTTTTTCATTGCCAGCTATTTTGGTTAGTTAGGTTAGGTTACGACAGTTTAATTTTATAATTGATATGATAAAATACCTATTGATTATTTATCGATACGGAACTGTATTTTCAATTCGATAGTTTCAATCGAAATTAGCATAGCCAAGTTAAGAAACTGTACCCTTGTTATTGTAAGGTAATCTGCAGAATTGTATCCTACTCCAAAATTGCAATTTGCCATCGATAATCGACAGGATTTAAACCCTGATTCAGTTAACTTATTTAGCCTTTAATAAACAGTGTCCATCATCTAAGTAACTTGACTTGGGCCTAGGTCCTATCCTATTTTTTGGAGGCACTAAACAATTTAAAAAAAAAAATACTACTGTATACATAGTGGAGCCTAGCCTATAATCTAACAACATGACAACAAATCTATACAACGTGACTAGGCCTAGCCTACTAACTTAGTTGTTTAATAAGTAAAAATGTCAACTTACCATACTAACTCGAGATAGCGTTAAAGGATCTGAAAAATAAGGTCGATTGTAATAACTTTCGCGTCCCCCGTTATTTGACATAATACTGTATGGGTTATTTTGATTGTTTGGACTAGGTTGGGGCACCTGAGGTGAAAAAGCTTTCTTTACTTTAGGCGTTGGTAAAAGTCCTCGTCCAGAGTTATTAAAAGGATATCTATTCATGTTAGCCAGAGGTGTAAAACGTGTTTAGTTTGTCTTTTGTATAACTTATAAGATATAAAATAAGATCATAGACGAGAAACAGTTAAACAATGCTTCGAGATTCGACTCTTGGAGGTTAAGTTTGTGTTTATGATAGTCACTATGAAAATGCGGTGCCGTCGCCGTCTGCCGTCTGCCTGCCGTCCACCACTACAACATCAAAAGTACGAGCAAGACCAAGAGCAGAGGCAGCTAACCAATGTCAATATAAAACGAGAAAACAAATTATATATATCAAAATACCAGTTAACAGCACTATTGGTTATAGCTAAGTGAACAATCTCTTTTAAATTAAACAGTATAAACGTTACTAACATATAAAAAAAAGGATTCAGATTTTACAATAGGATGGAATTTGCATACTTTATACATTGTACAAATAAACTGAGTATTCCATATAAAGAATAAGCTATTTTTGTAGGTCAAATGGTGTAAGACCTAGACCCAGGACCGATTTATTTTTTCGATTTGATGTCCCTAGAGGCAAAAAACATCGTCCGTTCAAATTCTCTCTCCATGTATATAATATAGGGTCCCGTGGCCGTAAGTAAACAGTCAAACTCCGGGTAATTGGTTCTATATGGGTCAACGGTCAAATTGGGTGGAAAGCAGTATACTTTCATAGAAACACACTTGATCTTCTATGATAACAACTATTTCTGTATAACGATTTTGCAGCAAATATTTAACAAAATTCATCTAACTAAATAAAATCTATCTAAAAGTCTGTCTAAATGCCTCAATAATCAACAAAACTAAGTAAAATAACTAACATCAAGCTAAACTCAATTAAAGCATAAGAGATTAGCAATATGGTGGTTCTACTCAATTCCAGTCTTCCCAGTCCCACTCCCGCTCCTGAAATTATGGGTAATTTACACTCGAATCCAGTTTGAATCTAATGTGATATTTGATATTTCAAAGCTGTTAATTCAAGCCTCTGTAAGCGTAATTCAAGTGTGTTACATGAAGCTGTGGGTAATTAAACTCGATTCGTGTTTGAATCTAAAGGAACAATTCTAAGCTGTCATTTCAAGTGAGTGCAAGCGTCAAGGCTTTAATCAAGGCCACACTAAAAAAAAACACTAAAATTTGTTTAGTGTGGCCTTGCTTTAATTAATCTGACGTGCTATCTGGGATAGGTTAAAAATGAAATAATATAATTTGTTCTCTTTATTTTGGCCCTAAGTTAAAAAAAAACCATTTCCTGTAGTTTGGCTGTTTTTGCTTAAGGGACACCCTGTATATACATCTTCCACTATCACTCGAATAAAAATGATACGATTTAGATTACATTTGGTACAAACGTGGTACGAACCCAACAAGCTTAAAGCTTAAGCAATTGGTTAAGGCTTTAGCTGTTCCACATAAGGATGAGAAATATATTTAAGGGAATGTGTTTTATCTATAGAGGCCAAGAATTAACTTTGCTCATTTTTTTCAGCCAGATAAAAATTTACAGACAGTAAGAAAGATTGACAGTAAATGTTCATTAATTGTTATTCTATAGATATGTTTTTGTTATTTTTTCAGAGAAACCGCGAGTGTAATGGATGAAGTTGATGAGGTTCCATTATTCAAAAACATCCCTTTGTTGTTAAAGTGATTATCTTTTGAAATATGTGAATACAAATCTGTTTAAATAACTTCTTGTTTTTATTACTTTCTTAATTTCTTAGAATTTCTAAATTATGTACCGTATTTAAAAGAAAAATATTTAAAAGTGTATATAGATGAAAACTATAATTTAAAATAGAGTAAAAAAAAAACTAATAACATTTTGTGTCCCCCAAACTATACTAACTTTATAAGTTTGATCCAAATTAGATGTTTTAAGTGTTATCCCCCTAGTTGTCGCCCTAAGGCACTGTCAGACCACTGCAGTTGTCGCCCAAAGGCGCTGCCAGACCACTGCAGTAGTTGTCGCCCAAAGTCACTGCCATACCACTGCAGTAGTTGTCGCCCAAAGTCATTGCCATACCACTGCAGTAGTTGTTGCCCAAAGTCACTGACAGACCACTGAGGTAGTTGTCGCCCAAAGTCACTGACAGACCACTGCAGTAGTTGTCGCCCAAAGTGACTGACAGACCACTGAGGTAGTTGTCGCCCAAAGTGACTGACAGACCACTGCAGTAGTTGTCGCCCAAAGTCACTGACATACCACTGCCGTAGTTGTCACCCAAAGTCACTGACAGACAACTGCAGTAGTTGTCGCCCAAAGTCACTGCCATACCACTGCAGTAGTTGTCACCCAAAGTCACTACCAGACCTCCGCAGTAGTTGTCGCCCAAAGTCACTGACATACCACTGCAGTAGTTGTCACCCAAAGTCACTGACAGACCACTGCAGTAGTTGTCGCCCAAAGTCACTGACAGACCACTGAGGTAGTTGTCGCCCAAAGTAACTGACAGACCACTGCAGTAGTTGTCGCCCAAAGTGACTGACAGACCACTGAGGTAGTTGTCGCCCAAAGTGACTGACAGACCACTGCAGTAGTTGTCGCCCAAAGTCACTGACATACCACTGCCGTAGTTGTCACCCAAAGTCACTAACAGACAACTGCAGTAGTTGTCGCCCAAAGTCACTGCCATACCACTGCAGTAGTTGTCACCCAAAGTCACTACCAGACCTCCGCAGTAGTTGTCGCCCAAAGTCACTGACATACCACTGCAGTAGTTGTCCCCCAAGTTACTGACAGACCACTGCAGTAGTTGTCGCCCAAAGTCACTGACAGACCACTGCAGTAGTTGTCGCCCAAAGTCACTGCCAGACCACTGCAGTAGTTGTCGCCCAAAGTCACTGACATACCACTGCAGTAGTTGTCGCCCAAAGTCACTGACAGACCACTGCAGTAGTTGTCACCCAAAGTCACTGACAGACCACTGCAGTAGTTGTCGCCCAAAGTCACTGACAGACCACTGCAGTAGTTGTCGCCCAAAGTCACTGCCAGACCACTGCAGTAGTTGTCGCCCAAAGTCACTGACATACCACTGCAGTAGTTGTCGCCCAAAGTCACTGCCAGACCACTGCAGTAGCTGTCACCCAAAGTCACTACCAGACCTCAGCAGTAGTTGTCGCCCAAAGTCACTGACATACCACTGCAGTAGTTGTCACCCAAAGTCACTACCAGACCACTGCAGTAGTTGTCGCCTCCAATTTAATGCCAGACCACCGCAGTAGTTTGTCGCCCAAAAGGCGCTGACAGACTACTGAGGTAGTTGTCGCCCAAAGGCGCTGACAGACCACTGCAGTAGTTCTTGCCAAAAGTCACTGACATACCACTGAGGTAGTTGTCGCCCAAAGTCACTGACAGACCACTGCAGTAGTTGGTGCCCAAAGTCAATGACAGACCACTGAGGTAGTTGTCGCCCAAAGTCACTGCCAGACCACTGCAGTAGTTGTCGCCCAAAGTCACTGCCAGACCACTGCAGTAGCTGTCACCCAAAGTCACTACCAGACCTCAGCAGTAGTTGTCGCCCAAAGTCACTGACATACCACTGCAGTAGTTGTCACCCAAAGTCACTATTAGACCACTGCAGTAGTTGTCGCCTCCAATTTAATGCCAGACCACCGCAGTAGTTTGTCGCCCAAAGGCGCTGACAGACTACTGAGGTAGTTGTCGCCCAAAGGCGCTGACAGACCACTGCAGTAGTTCTTGCCAAAAGTCACTGACATACCACTGAGGTAGTTGTCGCCCAAAGTCACTGACATACCACTGAGGTAGTTGTCGCCCAAAGTCACTGACAGACCACTGCAGTAGTTGGCGCCCAAAGTCAATGACAGACCACTGAGGTAGTTGTCGCCCAAAGTCACTGCCAGACCACTGCAGTAGTTGTCGCCCAAAGTCACTGACAGACCACTGCAGTAGTTGGCGCCCAAAGTCAATGACAGACCACTGAGGTAGTTGTCGCCCAAAGTCACTGACAGACCACCGCAGTAGTTGTCGCCCAAAGTCACTGACATACCACTGCAGTAGTTGTCGCCCAAAGTCACTGACAGACCACTGCAGTAGTTGGCGCCCAAAGTCAATGACAGACCACTGCAGTAGTTGGCGCCCAAAGTCAATGACAGACCACTGAGGTAGTTGTCGCCCAAAGTCACTGACAGACCACCGCAGTAGTTGTCGCCCAAAGTCACTGACATACCACTGAGGTAGTTGTCGCCCAAAGTCACTGACATACCACTGAGGTAGTTGTCGCCCAAAGTCACTGACAGACCACTGCAGTAGTTGGCGCCCAAAGTCAATGACAGACCACTGAGGTAGTTGTCGCCCAAAGTCACTGCCAGACCACTGCAGTAGTTGTCGCCCAAAGTCACTGCCAGACCACTGCAGTAGTTGTCGCCCAAAGTCAATGACAGACCACTGAGGTAGTTGTCGCCCAAAGTCACTGCCAGACCACTGCAGTAGTTGTCGCCCAAAGTCACTGCCAGACCACTGCAGTAGTTGTCGCCCAAAGTCACTGACAGACCACTGCAGTAGTTGGCGCCCAAAGTCAATGACAGACCACTGCAGTAGTTGGCGCCCAAAGTCAATGACAGACCACTGAGGTAGTTGTCGCCCAAAGTCACTGACAGACCACCGCAGTAGTTGCCGCCCAAAGTCACTGCCAGAGCCATTACTACCCTAGTAGTTTGTCGCCCAAAGGCAGACCACCTCTGCGAGATGCACTTGGCTGCATCACATAATCATTGCACCAATTAAGCCAACCTGATGAAAGAACACATGAGGCGAGAAACATTAGCATCGGAAATTGTATAATGCGCGACAAAAACTCCGGAAGATGGTTGTTGCAGTACAAGGGATGCACTCCCAATTTGCGATTATCCTACTTATGCTTATGATCATCACAGAGTCTAGATTTGCAGTATCAGTTCATTACATCTTGTTGGAATTAAATGGTTTTTGAATACCTATTTGTTTACAAAGTGATTGTTGTTGAAATGTGAACTGTCACAAAACTACTGGACAACTTTATAAAATTAAGGTGTTTGCACTACCATCTACAGTATCTAGTGATTGTGTATATGTTAGTCAATAGTCATCCAGTGGATGTTTTCTGGTACAGTAGTTAGTAATGCCTATGTCCTATGTATGTTGTGTAGTTACAATGCAAATTTTAAAT